GGGCCAGTATAAATTTGAAACAAACGAAGCAGAACCATAGTGGGGGGCAACGTCCGGGAGACCCTGGCAAGTTGGAAGCTCTCCACTCCCCTTCGTGCAATGGATGTATGGATCTGCCCGGCGAGGGCTGGGCAGTTCAAAGCTTTCCTAAACAGGAGGACCACTCCTGCCACTGGGCCCCCACTGGAGTATGGGCTCCAGGCATGTGTTTCCCAAGCCTGCCCTCAAGAGGTTTCAGGAAGGCTAAAGAAAGAACCAAACTCTGATTTCACTGACTTGAGAAGCACTCTTTACCTTGGCACACTTGACAGCAGCACCGTAGCCAGTGGAAAACCCACAGCCAAAGAGGCAGACTTTGTCCAGAGGAGCATCACTGTCGATTCTGGCAATAGCAGCCTCAGGTATGACTGTGAATTCAGAGAAGGTGCTTGTCCACAGGAAGTGGTAAATCTGTTTCCCCTTGCAGGTGAACCTGCTAGTCTTGTCTGGCATCAGGTTTTGAAGAGGTTCATAGAGGCTGTTGAGCACATTCGGAATGGATGCCATGATAAACTGGGCTAAACATCATTAATTTGTTTTATTGATTTATGTTATTCATATCCTGCCTTTTCTCCACCAAGGAACCCAAACTGGAGTACATAATTTCTCCCTTTCTCCCTTTTATTTATTTATTATTTTATTTTATTTAAACCATTTTATCCCCACAACACCAACCCTCTGAGTTAGATTAGGCTGAGAGTGAGTGACTGGCCTAAAGCCACCCGCTGAACTTCATGACGGAGTGAAGGCTCGAACCCAGCATTTTCCAGTTCCATCCCAACTCTCTAATCACGGCATCCTGCTGGCTGCTTATTTAGTGGAAAAACAAACAAACGAACAAACATGAGATGTTAAGCAAACTTACGTGGACTTGAGGCAACAGTTAGCTTTGGGACTCAAACAGCAGCTGCATTCTCCACACTGGGGAACACAAAGAGGAATGACTTTGTCACCTTTCAGGGAAAAAGAATGACAGAGTGATTTCTTAAGTTAACATTGTTTGTGAACAAAACCTAGAAACTACTAAGACAGGTTGAGGGTATAAGCATATTATTTTAAATAAAAGTATAATATATTTATAGAATATATATTATATAGAAATTATCCTCTTAACAGCAATAAAATTGGAAAATATCCTGAATTTTAATTTAGGCCGGTCCTGTATGGAAAATTCCATGGAACTATCATGGAAAAGGTGGGGTGG